GTTTTTTGGTATTGCCGCCGGATTGTTTGGTTGGGGGGGGGGGGGGGGGGGGGGGTTCTTCCTTTTTTGTACCTGCAGCTCTCTGGAAAGCATCAACAGCATTTTCAAGTCCAGACTGGGTCTGTCGATTACACCTTGTACCAATCTGTGTGTAGAGGGCTCCAATGTTAAATAAAATGCTGGCTTTTTCTAGCAACAGGTTTTGCTGACAGACTGGGACTCCAGTGAAAGAATCGTACCTTTGGTGGGGGAGAAAAAACAAAATGAGATTAAATGTGCCAGAAGGACCACAAAGCACAGGAAGACAATGTTTTCATTCTGCTTTCTGAGAGTTGCAAGCTCTGTATGTTTATCATGCTTCATTTAAAGCTGAAGGCCAGGATATTCACTTGTATGTACTGCAAGTGCATTTGAGTCCTATGAGCTAGCTAGCTTATGGAACTTTCTTAAAACGCACTTTGTCCCTTTTTGCAATGCTTGACTGGAACTTCAACAGCTTTTCCTTGACTGAAGGGTGGGTACCTCAGTTCCTCATCACAAGCAAAAGATTTAAATCCAGTGAGTCAAATTCTGCTTCTATATGGTGAGGAAATACACCACCCCAGGAGCACCCTCAACAATTTACAATAGTCTCCTGGCTCAGCTGCCCTTCCTAGTAAGTACAGAAGATGAAGCAGCAGCTCCCTTGCCTGGTGCTGCATGGACTATCAGCCAGGACCCAAAGTCCAAGTAGCACATGCAGAAGATTTAATTTACCCTCACTCCCTTGTGCAAGCAGATAGCCAATGTTACCATCTTTATTACTGACCTTACTCTCAGTATAAAATGGGCCTTATTTCCTTCACCTTTACTGCATGTACTAAATGCATATCAATATAAATATTACATTCACGGTACAAAAAATGGTTTCAAATTAGATAGAATTAGTTTAACAATATTCTACTTGTGGGGGTGGAAAAATTGGAAGTACAACTTACCATGTAAATAAGATCCCCATGTGTCTGGTAGGTGGAAAAAACCTGTTTTCTACGAAGCCAAGTTGATTGAAATAGCTAATCAACATCTCAATGCCAGCTTCATCTCTGCTGGGAGTACGGCAGGCCTTAAAGAACAAAGGCAGTGTCACAAAACGAATTCTGTTTCATTTCAGAATAAATGTTTACAGTAAGGGCAAAGTTCTGCACTAGCTGAAAGCATCTGGACTTCTGCATAATATGAAAATGTCCAGAATATGGGAATTAGAAATTCAGGACAAAAGCTCAGCCCTGATGTATGGACACAGCTCTGAACAGCTACGTTGTGCAGTGCACAGAAAGCAGCATCCGGCCCCAAAAGCACAGGCTAGTATATGGTAGGCAGTTCTATCACACTCTGAAAAAGACTTGGTTTCCTATGTTGGACACTAGGTATTTTCTGAACTACTGAAGAAAATCTAACAAATGGCTAATAATTAGAAATATTTAGTTTTCTGCTGCAGCTCTCTCCTAATTTTGTTACTGCTTTCACACCTCACTTGAAAATTCTTTAATCTCTCTTCCCCTCCCCCATTACAATTTAAATATTTTACAGATAAAGTTTTGAATTTGCAGGTTGGGTCTAATTGGTGGGTTCAGTCACGTTGTAATGACTCTTTCATGCCTTTCTTTGCCCTTTTTTAAAATCAATTAAGATTGTAAAGTTGTTAGGGTGTGGAGGCAGTCATCTGATATGCCCTATTATTGCCGCCTTATGTGTGGAGGAAAAGTAAATAAGAATAAGCTAACCTTTGACCAACACAGTTACCTGCCAGGGTGGATAACAGAAACATAATCTGATGCAACTGTTTAATTAAAACCTGCAAGATTAGAACTGTCTAAAGAGATTACCATGCAATACTCAAACCCACTTGTCTCAAATCCGTAAGATCTGCAATTTCATCTTCGTATTCTGAGCTGTCTTCACTGTAATGTTCCAGGATGAAATCCTAAAAATATGGGAATAGCTTTAAACATTTAAACCAAAGCAATAGGTTTCTCTGCAATTATGAACGGTGTCCTGAATATTTAAAAACTATTTCCCCTTCACAATGAAGGGAATGTGTTTTTTAGGACACAAAAGTCAAGTGTTTTATACTTATGTGATGGTATAAAAAGTTAAGAGAAGCCAGTTGGAAGCTGTCTGTGCTCTGACATGCTCAGATTAGACCGTTCTAAGCAGAAAGCTGCAGCATCTCATGTACTCCATGTCCCTGCATTTCAAAATGGTGGCAGGAATACTTTAACTAAAGCTCATCAAGTAAGCTTTAATTAAAGGTGCCCCAGCTGCTATTTTGAAATGCAGGGACACTGAATACATGAGATGCGGCTCTCAGGAGTTGCTCTAATTAACCCAACCCCCACCCCAGAGCAGGTAGACAGGTGTCCTTGCTCTGGTATCAGATACAAGGGATGGCAGTCTGGGTAAAGGAACAGTAATTACATCTTCTCCACTTGTTTTACAACCTGTTCTTTTGTAAGCAACATCTAAACACTTAAAACTACAAACAGCAAAGGAGTCAAGTGGTCATAAGATACCCAGCTCAGGTATCTCTACACTGCCCTATGTTCTACAGTGTAGACAGACTCCCTTACATCCACAGAGTAGCCTCAGTAGTCTTAATGCAGCATGTTAACAGAAGGATGTGCGAACTCTTTATTTCTACTAGATTTCCACCATTGTGACTCCATGGATCCACAACATGCAAGTTAAACAGTTTACACCAAGGCACCCAACCTTTTCACCTCACAGGCTTGGTGAGTGGTGCCAAGTCAGTCCATGGACCAGATCCAATCTGTGAGCCTGATCAAGTGCACTTTGCAGGCCCAGACAGGGCCCAATTTAGCTGCATGGGGCCTGGGCCCAATCCAGCTGCACAGGGTTTGGAGATTTGCCGTCAGAGTGGTGGCAGTGTTAATTGCCATTGCTCCCCTGCTGCCAAGTTCCCAGACCCATGTGGAGCCCTGCGAGCCAGGCAACATGGCTCTGTGGACAGGATCCGGCCTGCGTACACAATTTATTTACAGAAGTCTAAATTAGTCTAAGGGTGCTTAACTGAAGTCACTTTTCAAATCATTCTCTGAATTTGAACTGTAAAGTTAAAAAATGATCAAAAGAAAAGGGAAGATTTTTTTTTTCTGATTCAAACAATCATTTCCCAAGAAGGAGAATTTGGGGCTTACACCACAGCTTTCAGTGAAAACCCAAATTCTCCTCAAGTCCCAATCTATGCTCCTGTCTGAGACAAAACTCCCATTGAAGCCAGTGAGCATTTTGCTTGGAAGAATGCAGATTAAGTTACTCTGGGAAGCTGAAACTGAGTTGCTCTTGGCTTAGTAAAGCTGCTGTTGTTTACTTGCTCCATGGAGCAGGGCTGCTGATTGCCAGAGGCAGGGAAATGAAACAAAAACAGCCTGCCTTCCACAGATTTCATCATATAATTCAAACACAGAAACACTAAACACAGCCAACCCCACCAAAATAAATATCTATAAAAGGCGCACACTCCTGTGCCAAAGGGAAGACCTCTATAATCTTTGCTGAAAATTCTTTTGTGCAATCAAAAACCTGAAAGTGTGAGAACACCTTTAAATCCACATTAAAGATGGCATTTTTTTGTCTGAGCAAAATCCTTGCTCTCAGGTGTAATGTTATTTTACTAGTTTAGGGAAAGTACCTACATAATGGGGAGAAAACAAGATCCACTCTGCATATCAGGTCCCTGGACTTAGAAAGCAGTGGTGCAAAACATGCTTAAAACTGCCCTACCTGATTAGATGGGGCTGCCCCAGTCCCAGGAATGCAGAGTTATTATAGCTGCCTCTGCATCTCATTCTGCTTCCCCTGCCCAGCATAGGCTGGCTATGCCCCTCACAAGAGACAATCTAGGCATATATGAGTACTGATACATTTGGGTTTTCTGTCTGGATGCCAAACTATCCCCCAACTGCCCTAAAAAAGCACAAGTGTGTGCAACCAGATTATTTAACTGATCCTCATCCAGATGGTAAGATCTTCTGGAGAAGGACCTGGTTTGGTTTGAACTATGGAGTGCCCAGTGCCCTTCTGAATACCATAAAAAAGAATAAGTCATCATCACTACTAGCCTAGACACAAGAGAACAGAAAAAATTCTGTTTAGAAAGGTGCACATCTAGAGTCATGCTACTGAAGTCACTGGGACTGTTTCCCTTAAGAAGATTTAATATCAAATGCTGGGTATGTCTTAATGTATTATGTTCTTAATTGATCACATTAAAATCAGGTCAGCGCAAATAAAACAAAAATGTGTTTAGAATTTGTACCTAGCACTACACCTCTTCCAACTTAACTACTCTGCAGTTTTCCTACATGTTAAATAACTGATTCTAAATATTCTGTCTTTGTAATTTACCTTAAGGGGGATAGTGAAGTCCACTTCTTTGGTCTCTTTCAAACCGAGTGGTACCAAGGGAATGCTGAAAGCTTCTCTGTGGCAAGAGAAAAAACAAAACAGAAAATGAATCCCTTGTTGTCTGTTGCTCATTTGGCAGTCGTACCTCTCTTTCTCTGCATAGCCACTGGCTGGGCTTCCTCATGAGTATCCATGTAATATGCACCTTTTCCTTTGTACTAGGCAGCATTAAGTATAATTGTTCAGCCTCACACCATGCATTTTCCTTGTTTTTTTAAAAAGCAACATAAACAGCCAAAATGCATGCTCCAATTTCAGGAATGAAAGAAGCATATGATGGGGAAGAAATATATCACGGTGTGTCTCCTGATAAATTAGGACACCACTAATGTGTTTGTGAGTAGGGGGAGCTGTTGGCCCCTGTGTGGGTAGGCAGCAACTAAAGTCTATCTGCAGTGAAAAGGGAGACTCTCTCTCTCCCCACCCAAGCTGTACCCAGCCAGCATGGTCACTGGAGGATAGCCAGAGCCCACTTGTATCAATACTCTTCTGCAAGTGGAAAGGACAGCAGAGACCTCAACAAAATAAGGTCTGCTCTGGAACCCTGCCATACTGAGTCATTCTACCCCAAAGGACCAAGGAGAAGAGAAAGGGTAGATTCAACTTTCCTTTGTTTGCATACACCACATGAGCCAGAAGCAGCTCTACCATTACAGGGAGACATGCCAGGTAAGGCCTATGCTAATTTTTTATGTTTAAGCATTCTAGTTTGCATGCATCAGCCACTGATGGAAATTGGTCTCTAGTGCAGGTGAATGGGGGGGTCTGACCTGTTCTGACACAAGTGGAATCAGATGATATGTTTTAAGAAATAATGTGCAATACTCTAGCTCCTAGAGAATGTTAGGGTCAGGGAAGAATGCAGCCCATAAAACATTACTACGGAAGGTGATAAGGCAGGGAATGGCAACACTAGAAAAAACCGATCCTTGAGAAAAAACAATCATCTGGATCTAGGGATAAGTCTGGCTAATACGATGTGGGTACTAGAAGTCTGCTTGTAGGACATCTCGTATGAATAGAGACAGCAGCAAGCATTTAGCCCCAAATGTGAAATCTGTTTATATATGTCTTTCTCTAAATAAAAAAAAATCCTATTTCAAGGAGAAAAGGCACCAGTTGTACAGTGTGTTGAGTAGATAGATACTAGTCTGAATGGAAAAGTGCCTCCTTTTTGTGTCTGAGGCCCAACTAATCAACAGCTTATTCAATCTTTTCTTTTTCCTGCAAATGCACGACTCACTTTCTAATCATTGTTTAAGTTGACCTAATTTTAACTACAAACACTAAGGGTATGATTCATTTATGGTCTCCCAGTCAGCAAAGCTAGGAGAACCTAAGCTGCCTGTCTCTGGTGATGAAGTCTGTGCAGAGAGCAGCACTGTCATCTACTCATAAGCCTTGTGCCTTAGAGAAAAGCCCTGGAATTGACTGGTATGATTCAGAAAGTAGGCAGGGACAGCTGGGGAGTAATGAAGAACTTAGGCAACAAAAATCAGTGCTTATTCAGGCCACCATGTAGAGAGGCCTCCTGGTGGAGTTGACAGCTTTGCCCCATGACAGTGGGGCACAAATACCTTTATAAGCATTAGTAGATAATGAAAACTGCGTACACCTCATCAGAAATTGGAAGGAACAGTTAGTTGGTGTTGCAATGCTAATACAATAGTTCATTTGGAAAAACAATCTGATACAAACCAAGCTGCTAAAAAAAGACCTATTGATTTAATTCATGTCTTTCATAATCCATGTTAATTAAACTAATGAGGCTGTGTACAATTTTCAGCATGCCCCTGTTTCTCTAAGACAGTTCTCCAAATACAATTTTGGTTTTTAGTCACTGAAATGTCAAATCCATAGATTAAGAATAGAGAAATTCATTGCTTATATGGATTCATTATGGGAAAATGAAAATCTCCTTCGACCACGCGGCCAGTATCAGATCAGGGGACATACTAATAGTATTCTTACAGTCTTATGAGTAGTCACACAAACATGCTTAGGGACAAGTACACTTCTCAACTTGTTGGCAAGTGCACAATATTCAGCTGTCAACCAGACCAAGACAGACAGAAAACAAAAGTGGGGGTTGCATTTACACAGTTCCTGTTGCTTCATCAAAAATTTGCTGGGACAGATTCTACTCTCATTTTTTGCTGTTAGATGAAAAACCCCCTTTTTCCCTGTTAGGTCTTCTTGACATGCAACCCATGTTTTGTAATAAAGAACCCTAAATTATACTCTTTCTTCAAAGATGGTCTCACCAAGGTATCACTAAACAGTATCTCTAATAAGCAAAAGGTCTCTGTATAATGAAGAACCATTGCCTAATTGCTCTCTAAGCCATCATGCTTAAAACAGGAGACAGGATAGTCTCTAAACTGGTAAAGCTTACTGCTAGGTAGAAGACTGCATCATGACCTCATGACAATGAAAAAAATCACTGGATTTACAGAGAAGAGTGGTGTTTCTCCTAGTGCATTCCCAAAGTAGCTTTGGGAGCGACAGGAATAGTGAGGACTGGCTCTCCAGTTTTCAGGCCTTAAGCATAACCTCTGTTTCTGTACCATCCCAGTCAATCCATTCTAGCAACAAGAGCGTGACTCTCAGTTATGTCTTTGGCTGGAAGTATGACAGCTTTGTGTCCCAAACTTTTTGTTTTAGTCTGTTAAGAGCCTAGAGGCTGCCAGGTTGGGGGTAGCCCATTTAATGGTACGCAAGCAGAAGGTTAAAAGTTTGCTGCTCTGAAAGGGGACTATTTTACACTGTTTTCCCAACTTCCCTTTTCCTTTCCCTGATTATATGTTGGCTGCCCAGAGATCTGGCCCCCTGTAATGGTCAAAGAGGGAAGAGAAAGCGGTTCTCATTAAAGTGAAAATATATCTGTTCCCACCCTTTTCATCTACACGGCTCCCCCCTTCTTGGCATTTCCTGGGATTTCCCCACTTCCCTATGAGAAAAGTATGACCTATAATTAAGGCGACAGACAAGAGCTACAAATGTCACCTTTATTCAGCTTTACTTAACCTGTGGCCTGCAGTTTGGGACTCTGTATAAACAGCATTAAAAAAAAAAAAAGGAAACTGTTCAAAAGAGGTAGGGGTGGGAAAAATAACAGTGCACTACTCTTAAGCAGTGCTGCCTCTGTGAAGACCAGGATCAACAACCCTTCCCTGAAACAGTAAAACGATTTTAAATGATCCACCAAAGGACTCACTGGGCTCCTATAGACGTGGAAATCCAGCACATCAGAGCAGACTCGATTAATCTGCTCTGATTAACTGAGTCTGCTGGAGCACGGGAACTGACACGCTCCAGCAGCCTTCCACGTCACATGTATCAGCATCCCTGCACTGAAAAAATGGTGTTGTGGCACTCTGAAATAAAACACATTTGCTGAGCTTTAGTTCAAAGCATCCCGCCACCATTTTGTCGGCACAGGGACACTGATACATGTGATGCACGAGTGCTTTTCATTAGTGCGGCTTGCTAATCAAAGTGCCTGGCACCGCATCCCAACGCACATGTAAAAATGCCCTTTGAATTTCTGGGATCTGTCACAAACCTGCTCTCCCACCTCTCTCAATACTACTGTACTTCCCTCTTTCCAACTACATCTGTGGTATAATCTGACTTGTTAAATTATATAAAGGCTTTTCACACTATGAACAAAACATTTTCCAAGCAGAACATGGAGTTTTGTCAAAAATTGCCATGGAGAATTAGAGCAATTTTTGGTGGAATTTCACTTCGGGAAAAGTGACCGGTTTCATTTTGGTTTAGGTTAATAATCGCTCTGCCTCATAGTAGCTATAATTCTGGGTTGTTCTTGTTAGCATTCTCCCCTGTGACACTGCTTCTGTGACTAAACCACTGCAGTGATTCACAGGACTTCCACAACAAACCAAGATGGCAGTCTGTCTACAACAGGGGTGTCCAACCTTTTTGAATGTAAGGCCGGATCATGAACTTTTTATCACCAAGTGGGCCGGTGAGCCATATTCAAGCACCCTCTGTCCTGGGCCAGAGAGACCCTGCCTGTGTAGCCCTACTGCACCTGCCTGTTACTGCAAGGTTTGTGGTAGCTGCTGGTGGGCAGGGGCAGGAGGGACCCATTCTGCATCCAGCCAGCTACTGCCCCAGAGACTGAAGGGGAGAAATAAATAGCTTCACATCCCCATCCCCCAAGCAGCGCAGCCCCACAAGCTGGCGCTGCCTGAGGGGGGCTGGAGCAAGGCGGCTGCTGCACCACAGCCCCTCACCCACCTGCCCGCACGGCCCTGCTCACCAAGGTGCACAGCTGCCTGCACACACAACCCCGGTGGCCTCAGCGCT